TTCTCTCCCCCTGTCCTAAATGCCTTCACGTGCCACGGCTATTAGGAGGGAATCCATAAGAGCTAAAAGGGAGGGGAGAAATTTCACCAAAGCCCTGGGTAAGTCTTAATGTCCAGGGTGCCAGCCTCATCTCCTGGTGGGGAGTTTGGCTCCATTGTCAGCTTCTCTTTGGAGGGGGGTGCCTTTGTCTGCGTAAGGGCTGCTTTGCAGAACTGAGCATGATCCCTGTGAAAATCCTCCCTAAATCCAGAGTTGTTGTGGCGCTGGACTCCCCTCCCCGGGCACTGAATCGCGTCGGAGATGGTTATGTGCTTTGGGTTCCAACAGACTGAGGTCTCTCAGCTGAACGATTAAGCCAAGGATGAAGCCAACACAAGCTTGCCGTCTCCAAGGATGTTTCTCACTGGGGTAGCTCGGCAAGGGGCTGGGCTGCCACATCCGTGGATTGAACCAGAGTTTTCCATTTATCCGCAGAACAAGTTCTGTGCCTCCAGCTGCAGGGCAGGCCCGCCCACAGTACCCTGCCAGTGGCATCTTAACCCCCTGACCTGGAGGGATCACCGAAGGGTGAGAAAGTGATGTGCTCTCTCCATGTCCATCTCATGCTTGGTTGGTTAGCTGAGACTGGCCGCGCCTGCCGTGCATGGTCCTGGGGTTGTCAGGTCTCGTGGAGAAACGCCCTCCATTCGTGGAGGCAAGCCCATGCCAACTGGTTAGCTAGCCACTCACCATTCCCAGCCTCCATCCACTAAATCCCAAGACATAGAGAGCCCACTACCTGCTTGCAGACTGTTCGTCATCTAGTGAGTCCCTGGTTCAATATTTTCTATAAAGAAATACAAATCTTTTATTACCTTGACTTGCAGCACTGAACTGAAAATGGTCTTCATAGAGTCGAATCGTCCTCGAGGCGAATGTCAGTGAAGGCGGTGGTGGCCGCTCGTCTCATCTTTCAGTGATACCCAAAGTAGGGGTTCTGGTTTTGTTTCCAGTAGATTTAATGATAAAGCCATGGAATGCCACCCATTTTTTTTTTTTTTTTTTTTTAACCTCGGAACTGCCTACGTTGTCAGTGAGAGTCCTGAGAAGTGAATAAAATAGTTTGGTTTCGTTGACTAACTGGCAGGCTCTCGTGTGGAAAGCTCAGTTTCCGGACGTGGGTCCTTAGGCAAATGTGGCCACCGCCTTACCGACCTCGGCTGGGAAGATGAAATGACAGCTAGGAAATAGCTCAAGCATTTACGAGGGCCGTCGACTCCAAGTATAGCACATGGCAGTAAGACTGCATACTATTTATCAAATAAATTTGAGAAGGGTCTCGAGCCCCACTGCCCCGGCTGCTAGAAAGACACATGATGTCCTCGTGTGTTCCGCTCAGCTCTAGACCGTCATCAGGAGCGAGGAGAGTTGTTGGCAGTGCTTAGCACAACGTCCGCCGTACTGCCTGAGCTCCGGGTGAGCACCAGCTCTTACCCTTGTCGCAGGCCAAGGGGTCATCTCACATCCGTGCACTTCACAAGCGGCTTGCCATGGGGTCGCAAACCATAGCCTCTTCGGTCACTAAGCTGTGCTGGGTGGCTGGGAAAGGAAGGCATCACCTCTCCTTGGACAGCCCCGTCTGCTCATGTTCCTGGCTGTGAGCCCAGCCACCCTGAGGAGGTTCGTGGCCTGTGTCGACTGGGAGACAGGCCTCTGCCTCTACCTTCAGGGATTAGCTTTAGCCACCTCCTCCAGGTTCTCCCCTGGTTGGTGCCCCAGATGTCGTCACTTCGGTGGCTTGACTTAGGAGAATGAGCCAGGAGAGCAGAGAAAGGCAGGTCGACCTCTCCTGCTCCCTGTCCCCTTAATGCGTTCTGACCCACAACCAAACTACAGTCAGTTATCTGGGTCCGGCTGACCGGAGCTGGCTAGGATGGGCACACCTTCTATTCGGCTTTGGCCCCAGCCACGTCAAGGTCAGGACCACCACGCTTACCCCCTGTGTCAGCCAGTGCTGAGGCTTGGGCCACTGTCTGTGTTTCCTTCCCAATTTGGCTCCCTGGGAGCCTCAGCCTGCTGTCCTGTCTATGGATGAGGGAGGGAAGGTAGCTTCGGCGTGGGGGTTCTCAAACTTGCCCGCGAAGCACACTTACCTGGAGGGCTTTTTAAAACACAGTTTGCTAGCCCTGCTCCCAGATGCCCTTTCAACGGGCAAAGCCAGCCTCGTGGTCTGTGACCCGTGCGGCTGCGCAGGACCTCCACAGAGAAGGAGCCCACGTTTGGCTTGATGATCTGCTGTGACCACCTTGAAATTCTTAATAGTTTCTCCCCTGGGGGCCCCACATGTTATAGCCAGTCCCGTCAATAGGCCCAGAATGGAGCTGGAGAATTTGCATTTCCAGCAAGTTCCCCCGGCCATGTTCCCCAAAGAACGGAGGAGAGGAACAGTGGCCCTCCACCTCCTCCTCTGTCGCCTCTTCTCCACCAGAGCCAATCACAGCCATGAGAATGGAAGGAAGATCGCGTGGCAGCTTCGGTGATTTTTGTGACTGTTGTGATTGTTCTTTGTTTGATTCTGTTTGGGTTAAGCACACTAAATGTTCTCATGAAGGCTTTTCAGTGCCCCCAATAATTCCTGTGCGTGCGCTTTCCCTGTCTGTACACCAGTCCTGAAAGAGAGGGTATTGAAGCAGCTGACAGAAATATGTAAGTGGAACAATGTCGTAGTGAGTAATTTGAGAGGCGAGGCGAGGGAAAGGAAAGCAGGGGGAAGAGCGAGCGAGAAGGTAGGATGAGGTTGGGGCGGGAGCGCAAGCGGCGCCCACAGGCTTCCTGCATCCCGAGCCCCGAGCCCCCGAGCAGAGCCCTGCGCCCGGGAGCCCTTTGCAGCCTTAGCAGAGAGACCTATGTTATTTGTGAGGCGATGCACGCTTCCACTGGAGGGGGGGAGTCACCGACTTGCTCGGCAGAAACCCAGATAGATGTTCCCAGTGCTGAGACGCGATGCAGTTCTCCCGCAGGGTACCTTTCTTTACGCACCTGTCGGCTGAATCTGCAACTTGTCACGTTTTGCTGAACGTATTCTCTATGTTCTTCAAGACAGATGAACAAGACACGAGACAATAATTGGGGTCTCCGTGAATGAAAATACCTTTCTGACATTCTCCTCCCAATGGGAGGGAGCAAAAAAGCATTCGTAGCCCTGATGGCTATTTTGTTTTGGCTAATGAATTGACTTGGCTCTCTTTAAAACATCCCATAAAGGAAGGCTTTCTGGCCCCGCTGTTATGGATATAACACCATGACCTATTCTTGCTGGGTAGACAGAAGACATTTTCATTAATGACTGGGGAAACCCATTAACTAAACGGGGAGAACAACGGAAATGGGCCCAGTCATAGAATTTCTAGCCCTGGCCCGAACCCTGATTCTAAGCTGAGCAACCTGTTCAACACATTCAGTTTTTCTTATTTTCGTAGTATAGCTTCCTCAACTGGAGTCAAAGTCATGACAGACAAGTGTCCATGTGTTTTGCTTTGTGTTTCCCTCTGCTAGAATTAGGGGGACTTCCCCCCTTGAATTAGATATGGAGGTTAGTTTCCTCCCTCCCCCCCCCACTTCCAGCAGAAATAATAAGTTCTTTTGAGTTTTCCTTCATTCACTGGAGGCCTAACGTCTCTGGAAAATCATCCTCATGGTGGTTCTCTGGCTCTTTTCCCATAAGATTGTCTGTCATCGGTTTAAAGAGGAGACAAGGAAAGGACTTATTTATTCCACGTGGGTAAGAAATTGCCTCAGCAAAAAGTGCTCGAGCCCCTGGCTGCGTCAGTAACAGGCGAGGCATGTCACAGATGCTGAAATGCTTTTCTCCTGGACGCTAACCCGCGCTGGAAACCCGAGACTAAGCTAGGTCCCCTGTGAGTGCGCGTCCCCCGTCCTCCGTGCTGCGTGCACACAACCAGCTAGTTAGGAAAAGATTGCTCAGGCATGTGTTTACCTTCTTTAAGATCCCAGAGGATTTGTTTTGAAGAATTAAAGCAGAAGAAAGCAAAGACTAGTAATAGAGAAATGAAGCAGGGTTGTGGGGGAGAGACAGAAATAGGTTCTGGAACTTTTAATCACTCTGTGATCATTTCCCTTTAAGATGTCAGGGCCACTGTTTTGAGGAAGGTAGAAAATGCAGATGTTCCCAGGTAAGACTTCCAACACTCGTTTCATGTTGCTGACGTTCTCATTTTCCTGTTCCTCTCGCATTTTCACTGTTATTTCTGTTGCTGTGACAACTCATGCACATAGAAAACATACTGCATATGCTAATTAGCCTGTTTTATATTACTCTGTGAAAGCACTAGTGCCTTGTAGGGTCATTTCAGGAGTATTAAAATACAGTGAACGCTAGTGATGGTCATATATTTGTCTCGTTGGCCTCTGTACGTGAGACTGTTATTCCCACCAGAAGCATCATCACCATCATCATCCAGAGTCGTCATCACAGGCAAGATGGATTTACTCACATGAAGTATTTGGGCAGGGGGAAGAGACGTTACCCATAAAGCCATAATGAACTTCTTGTAAAGTTTCAGTCGTAGTTTTATGTGACTTATTTTAAATTCAGGATATTGAGGAACGTAAAAGAGTTATCTACCAGTTTTGCCTTACTTAAAAGATAGGGAGCCTCAGACTTGACTTTCCCAGTGGAGACGGGATTAACGCGACAGGCATTTCAGCGATGCCCAGCGGAGAATGCAGGGATCCATGTCTGTTTCATCCTTCCCCTGCTCCCTCCGCCTTGACAGTTTCCGTAACAACTGTGGGGTTTCACTGCCCTCTGCCGGCCATGTCGTGGAAACGCCTTCCCGTTATTGCTGTACAAGTCTGGGAACATGGCTCCGAAGGTCTTTTCGTTTCAGCCCCTGTGCCCATGCATTCTCCGCCTGTCTTTTGTGTAACGGTCGTATTGTTTGAATCTGGTCACTAAGTGTTAACACACTCACGCACTTGCCATTGTCTTCTTGCACCAGAAGCCCTGACATGTTGCGATCGGAAGTTTCCTTTTCTGTGGGAGGAAGGCACTCGTCCACCGACTCCAACAAGGCCTCCAGCGGAGACCTCTCCCCTTATGACAACAACTCCCCAGTGCTGTCTGAGCGCTCCTTGCTGGCTATGCAAGAGGACGCGGCCCCGGGGGGCTCGGAGAAGCTTTACAAAGGGCCGGAGCAGTATGTGCTGGTGAGCCACTTGCCATCGTCGAAATCAAGGGAGAGTTCTCCTGGACCAAGGCTTGGCAAAGGTAACTGGAACCTGGCTGGTGCGGGCCACATCAGTGACTCTGATTGCAGGTGGCATGGTGCGGGCCCTTGGACCGTCTCTTCGCCTCTTCCTTGTTTCATGTTTCTGTCATTCTGTGACATTTACTGAGTTCCTGCTCTAGGAAGAGGAAGGTGTGGTGGGCGAGCCCAGTCATGGTCTCGGAGGCTCCCTGCTGACCGGGGCATCTGGGAAGCAGTCTCAGGCCCAGAGAGCCACTGATATTCCCAGCTGATCCTTCCCCTGAGCATCTGAGGAATTTGATATGTCCTGGCCAGTGAGTTTGGGTGCATCTTTGCTAGTCTAACATGTCACCCAATTATTGCTGCTACTTCTATAAAGAGGACAAGCTGAACCCACTATATAAGGAGACATCATGTTCCAAAGAGGTCTCCATGGGAGATTAAGATTTTTATTTTTATGTTTTTTTTAGCAAAATAAGGGTTCCGTGGTCAAATACATTTGGGGAATGCTGGGTTAACCAAGCTAATAGTTTCTCTATTGTATAATTTCTCAAACTCTTTAAAGAGCTAATGGGCACCATTAATTCGCACAATGGAAAGGAGAGTGTGGTTTGCAGTTTTTCCCAAATTTATTTGACCACTGAATGTTTGGTTCTGCTCTTTCCCTCCACAGGGTAATTCCTCAGTGCCAGGACTCAGCAGGACGCTCTGAGTAATAAGTGGAAGACACAGTACAAATTCTTGCTCTCTTATCCTACATGTATCACTTAACCCAAACAGACACCCTGAAAGGGCTGTTTTTTGATGGGTTTTTTTTTTCGGGGGGGGGTGTTCTAAATCATAGCATATTTATTTTTATTTTACAAATATTCATGTCAAAAAATAATTTTTAAAAATTGTAATGAAAACAGTAACCCATGTTCCCCTCAAGCGTAAAATTTATTTTTAAAATGTGGAACTTGGGGCGCCTGGGTGGCTCAGTCAGTTAAGCGTCTGCCTTCGGCTCAGGTCGTGATCCCAGGGTCCTGGGATGGAGCCCTGCGTCGGCCTCCCTGCTCAGCGGGAGCCTGCTTCTCTCTCTCCTCCCTGCTCATGCTCGCTTCTTGCCATCTCTGTCTGTCTCTCTCTCAGATAAATAAAGAGAATCTTTAAAAAAAATAAAATGTGAAACTTTATTTTTTCTAGTCCTTGTCCAGGTGCATCCCTAATTTGATATATTTGTTTTCAAAGCATAGCTGCTTTTGAATTCAGCTTATTTTACTTAAAATCGTATCACTGACATTTTCCATTTTGCTAACATTCTTCATGGCCACTATATATTCCCATTAAATCGATGTATCATAGATTTCTGACTATTCCCTTTCTCCCTTTCTGATGCATATAGATGATCTCTAGTTTCTGCTCTTTTAAATTAGTGACACATTTTCTGTATGCAATATTCTCTGCAATAACAGCAACAAAAAAGGCAGTCTGAAGAGACTTTTGCTATTATGAAAGGCATGGCATATTTGGGTCTCTAAATACAAATTCAAAGAGAGATTACTAGACAACTTACCACTAAGAAAGCTTGATTCTTTCTTCCCAGGATCAGTGTGTTTGCTTCGTAGTTTCTTAGCAGGTAGGCTAAGATACACATTAGCTCTAATTAGCAGGTGGACTAAAGCACGTGTTTGTTCTTTCTGTCCATTCGATATCCCGGCCAACTCTAACACTGTGGTCCTCGATTTTGTATCCAGGGAGACATCTGACAATGTCTGGAGGCGTTTGGGGCTGTCACAGCCCAGGACGGGGTGCTACTGCTGTGTAGACAGTAAAGCCCAGGGCTGCTAACTCAGCATCCCACAGCACACAGGACGGCCCCACACAGAGAAAGATCCGGCCCCAAATATCACTGGTGCAGGGGCTGAGCAATCCTACCTAAGCGTAACTTTCTCCCTGGAAATAACCTCACCCCGAGGGAACTAGAAACAAGTCGTGTTAGGGGCGCCTGGGTGGCTCAGTCAGTTAAGCATCTGCCTTTGGCTCAGGTCATGATCTCAGGGTCCTGGGATCGAATCCCACATTCAGGGGATCCTGCTCAGCAGGGAGCCTGCTTCTCCCTCTCCCTCTGCCCGCCGCTCCCCCTGCTTGTGCTCTTTCTCTCTCTGTCCAATAAATAAATAAAATCTTAAAGAAAAAAAGAAAAGAAAAGAAACAAGTCATGTTAGTATCCCATGACAAGAGCGCTTCATTTGGAGTCAGTAACCATGCTGCCACTTTCAAGCTGCAGGACCTCGTGGGAAAGATTGAGTTTTTTGGAGTCCCCTTTCTTCCTCGTATGAAAACTAGGAAAGACAGCCGTATTCATTCATAGAGCTTAACCAGCTAATCCATGTAAAGTCCTCAACCCGCAACTTGGCACGTAGGAAGCGCTCGACAGTCCTCGCTCCATAACCACGTGCAGTTCTTAGCTGCTCCTTCCGCCGCTGGCCTCACCTCTAAAGTGGACTCAGGGCATCTCCTGGGAATTAAAGGAGAGAGTGCATTTGAATGGCTGCCACCGGGAAGCGCCCGGTAGACTTTTGCTTCGAGAAATACTCATTATGATCCCATCCCAGGCTCTCTCTCTCTCTCAAATAAATAAATAAAATTTTTAAAAAGACAAAACAACACATGCATTTATCATCTTACAGTTCGGGACTTCAGAAATCCAAAATGGGTCCGCAGGGCTGCATTCCCTCAGGAGGCTCTAAAGAACAATCTCTTCCCTTCCCTTTTCTAGCTTCCAGAGGCCGCCTGTGTTCTTTGGCTCATGGCCCTTCCTCCACCTTGAAAGCCAGCAATGTAGCATCTTCTCTTCCGCCTTCCCCCTTATAAGGACCCTTGTGATTGCATCAGGCCCGCCCAGATAATCCAGGATCATCTTCTCATCTCAAGACTCAATCATTTCATCACACCTGTAAAGTCCCTTTGGCGCATAACCTCTTTACAGGTTCCGAGGATCGTGGCACAGACATCTTTGGGGGGCCTGATTCTGGGTACCCACAACCATTAGAGAGGAAGCCTTTTTGTAAACCCCAAATGGGATAAGCCCCTGAAAGGCAGGCATGCGTCATATTCTGTCTTGTATCCACCACAATCTTGAATGTGGCGCTGTTACCAAAATATTTGTTTCTTGATTTTTGCTCTTCACCTTTCATTGTGAGTGACATACCTTTCTCTATACACTTTTTCCTAGATATGTCAGAGGAGCCTTTCAATATCTGGGGAACTTGGCATTCAACATTAAAAAGTGGTTCCAAAGACCCAGGAATGACAGGTGACATATTATCTTTTCAAGACCGTTTATTGCATTTACTTTTAAACTTAATATTCTTTAATTTTTGCCTTACTGTCGTATTACTACTTGCCAAGCATTATTTGGAAAATGCTGAAAATAGGGGGGAAACCAGATCAAGCTATACTTAGCCTTTCTGCCAAAATACATCAGTCTTTCACTATATTTCATTTCACTTCCTTTGCAAGGGTTTTTAAACATAGCTACGGTCATTCTGTCCGTGCAACTTGATATCATCTGTTTAACTTCCATTTCCCACTTATTTGCCATTTTTATTGTTAAGGGCCACGTAGTATTCCAGAGTGCATACTCATAGTTTACAACCCATTTTTTTTTTTTGTCATCGTTGTAATAAGTTATGCTGTCAGGAACCTCTTTCACGTACTTTTTGTTTTGTATCTTCAACGATTGATAGATTCACAGAATTTTGGAAAGCAAGTTACACATCCAGAATAGGACAGTGGGTCCAAATATTATGCACCTTTCCAAGCATCCAGAGGTACAGCCCCTTCCCCGCCCACCTCGGTGCAGTCGTCCGGGGCGTTTCAACATGAGGTGCCGGCACTGCACGTCATTGGGTTTGCATTTTTGCTAAATTGAGGGCACTCGGGTGGCTCAGTCGGTAAGTGTGTGCCTTCTGCTGAGGCCGTGATCCCAGGGTCCTGGGATCGAGCCCCGCACCGGGCTCCCTGCTCGGCGGGGAGCCTGCTTCTCCCTCTCTCTCGGCCCCTCCCCCTGCCCATGCGCACACACTCTCGCTCTCAAATAAATAAATAAAATCTTTTAAAAAAGAAAACAAAATTGTATTTATTATTTTCATTTGCATTTCTTTCTCACCATTATTTTCCAGTTTCTCTATTAATTAGCTGAACTTTCCCAAGCTGGTGTTTTTTATTTTTTTATTTTGTATTTTTATTTTTTTAAAGATTTTATTTATTTATATTTAGAGAGAGAGAGCAAGCAGGGGGAGGGGCAGAGGGAGAGAGAGAGAGAATCCCAAGCAGACTCCGCGCCAAGCTCGGAACCTGATGCGGGGCTCGATCTCACGACCCTGGGATCCTGACCTGAGCCGACATCAAGAGTCGGCAGCTTAAACTGACTGAGCCGCCGAGGCGCCCCCTCCCATATTCCATTTTTAAAGCTCGGTGCATCTTTACTTTAGCGGCCTCTAAGCCAGCCGAGTTTAGTACTGACCCATTACCTAACCACATTGCGTTGTATCCTACGAAGTGCTTTTACTACCTTTTCCCCCAAGGATAAACTATTCCAAGATGTTCTGCTCCATTTCCTTCTGCTATTTCAACTCTGCTCAGTCCCTGTTCAAATGCTCATATCTCTTGCGCAAAATGGTCTTCTTCTCTCTCCCTGCCTGCTTTTTAATAAGTGGGAGGACTGGGCCAGTCTTTCGCACACTGGTGGCGGTGGGGTCTACACAGCAGCTGCTGTCTTCATTACCTTCTGGCCCGAGATGGGGCATTTTAGGTTCAGTTCGCTTATTCCAACACCTTTTACTGACATGGTGGAAACATCAAAGCATTATCGTTGGTGTCTCCTCAGGACTGCAAATCGCACCGAACGAGAAGAGAACACTTTCTTTACCTTCCAGGTTCAGAAGCCATGTGGAAGGGGCCTTTCCTGAAACAAATTAGTGACAAGGACTATTGAATCTAGTTTGACATCCGGATCTGGAGCTGCTCCGTGCATTGTGCCAATAACCAAAGCGTGATTTGTTATTTCCTTTCCTAGGACATGTTTTACTTTAGGCAGCGGGAGGAGTGTCCTGTGCTTTCTCAATTTTTGAAGGTGGCCGTGGGAAGGAAATAGCAGGACACATCCCAAGAGGGATTCTACAAACTAATTCCATTTCTCGCCCTTCTCTCCGGCTTCCAGGTTCCTATGGAGACATTTTTGAGAGCAGCTCCCTCCGACCGGGGCCATGCTCCCTTTCTCAAGGGAACCTGTCCCCAAATTGGCCCCGATGGCAGGGGAGCCCCACAGAACTGGAAGGTGGCCCGCAGGTCATTCGGAGGACTCAGACCACGGCCACCATCGTGGAGTGCAGGGCCTGCCCTCCCGTGTCGCGCGTCTGCAGCACGCCCCACATCCAGGGCGGCGGCAGAAGGTGTGAGCAGGCCACACCGAAGTCAGAGCAGTATTTGACTCTGAGCAGCGCCGAAGACCTCACTGAGAGTGAGCTCGATGTGGTCTGGCTGCAGAGCAGAGCCAAGCCTTTGCACCAGAGACCTCGAGAGAGTGAGAAGCGTGACAAGAGGCCTCCGCCTCCGTATCCTGGTCCCGGGAAGCAAGCTGTAGCGTCATCCCACCAGCCAGCAGAGCCGCTCTTGTGGAGGCCTCAGAGGCCAGAAGAAGGTTCCAGAACAGCGTTGGAAGAGGGAAGCCAAACAGCCGAGCGAGAGCAGCAAGCCGCTGAGCAAAAACTGAGCAGCGCCTACTCCACTTCCGCCAGCGATCAGAACAGTAAGACTTTGGGTGACCCCACCTGGCTGGATTGGCAGAGAGAGCGGTGGCAGATCTGGGAGCTCTTATCGACCGACAACCCCGATGCCCTCCCGGAAACGCTGGTATGAGCCCACCCAAGCGCACACCCCCACGGCCCAGACAGCCTTCTTTCACTCCGTAGGGGAAAAAGTTGGTGTTGGACAATTGGACACTTACTGGTTTTTCTTCTTTAACACTTTAAAAAAAAATAACACGAGAGAAACCCAGCTCACTTAAAGATAGAGAGCACTAGTACCCTTGCCATTTATAATAAACTTCTATTGCATAGCCAGCCATAGGAGAAAACGAAAACAAAAACGGATGGTGATATCCAACCGAAAAACTACTCGCGTTGGCTTTGTATAAGATAAAACCCTCGCTTTGATATAGCTTAACTGTATTTATGTGACTTCAGTTTTGACTGTTGTATATTCTGTAACAGATTATGTATGATAATCGTATATGATATATTCACAGAAACAGAAGGAACAATTTTTAAAAATCACTTCACTTATACTGAGTAATGAGATTCTATAGAATGTTCTAGAATATGCACAAGCAGGTTTCTGTGCTTTTGCCATAGCTTTTTAGCTGGGGACAGCCCTTCCTTCAATGCCTAGGAAAAACACTAACAAAACAAAACAGAGTATGCCAAGCCATATTTTTATATAGTCATGAGATGCAAAAGAAAACGTAGTCACTGAAGGCTTTTTCATATTGAATATGTTTTAAGGAAGATATTAAATTTGATACATTATGGAATATATTTTTAGAATCTGTTTAGAAAGGATTCAGTTAATCGAACAAGAGAAAGGCCGTGCCTGACAAAGAAAGAATAATTAAGAAGTTGTCCTTCCCATTTTAGATCAAATTCAATTTTATATAGACCATATATAATATATATTTATAATGTATAATTTTTATGTATTTTTCAAAAACTACAAACTGGAATCCAACTATAAAGCGTTTAAGCATCCAAACAGAGTATTCAAATTACAGAACAAAAGTTTTTCCTTTTGCCCCATAATCAGTATTAACCAAATTATAAGCAAAGCTTTGTAAAGTAAGTCACGTTTGGACAAAAACTCCAGCTTTGTATTTACATCGCGCCAAAGGCCGAGGACATGTTTTCTTCGGTAATTTTGTGTGTATCGTAAAATGCTCCTACTACATACTTCAGTAGTTTCAAGTTTTTCAACCGCAAAACCATTTTTGACCAGCAGGTGGCGATTCGCTTCAGTATTTTACGAGATTTTTTTTTTTTTCACTTCGTAAGGGAATGTGTATTATAGAAGAAGAATTTTTTATGAAACATGCTACTCTTAATTTTCATGTCGGCAATGACATTTTCCGTGGTGTTTCTTAAAGTTCTGTCTTGTGCCATGATGAATAAAAAGTTAAACAAATGCTTTGTTTCCGGGCATTAAATCTAATGCATGAACTCGCCACTCCGTTCCAGACACCCACTTCGCTCTCCACAAGTCCAAGTGTCATAAACAGCAGCGATACTATACATATACAGCTAAAGAGCTCGTAAAAGCTATCAGATGGTTTGGGGCCACCGACACACTTAGAAAGTCATACTAATTATTTGTTGCAAGTGAAGGCTGATTGTCAGTCACTCAACCGAAACTCAGTTGTCAGTGAGGAAGTGTTTTTGCCGCAGGCTGGAAACCCGCTGGACAGGTGGTGCCCAGCACGGTCCCTGTACGTGACATCTGTCCTTTATAAAGGCCTTAGATGCTTCCTTTGTCTCAGGGCCAAAATAATGACGTCTAGACGTGGTGTCTAACGTTTCTTATTGGGCAAATGATCGGGCTGTCTTCAGGCTCTGCCACTGGGTCCAGCAGCCCCGCCGCCCGCTGGGACTCGGGAAGGATTTGCCCACCGGTCTCCGGCTCTTCCTAGAGGCCCACACGCAGCCGAAAGTCGTAAACAAGACTCTGAGCAAACACTACTTGATTGTGGATCGCGAGTTGCTCTTCTGTGTCACCCCCCCTCCTTCCTGTTCCTGCTCACCGTGTGTCTTCCAGGCTTTGAGTCCGACCACGAGCTGCCCAGTTCTTCGCCTCGGTTCTGGACTGAACCGCCACGTGTATGGGGCCCTCTTCCCACCCGGCTCCTGCCCTAACAGTTCTATTTTTTAAAACTTCCAGACCAAATGGCTCTGAGGTTGATGTCTGTGACCCAAAGGTCTGTCCGTCTGTTGACAGTCAGGTCTAGAGCTCCCAGGAGCAAGAAGAAAGCTGGCCTGCCGCCGACGCCTCTGCAGCCCGAACGCTCGGTCACTGCGCATGCGCCTCGGGCACCGGGGCCGGGACGGCGACGGCAGAGACGGCCGAGCGTGCATTTGTCTTCATCTAAGTCGCTGTTGACATGTTTGCTGCGGTTTTTTTATAGAAAAAAAAATCTTTTGTACCAACGGAGGTGGTGCAAATGAAGAAAACTTGTAAATGAGCCCAGCTTGCTTCTTTGCTCACGCACATCTTCCCACACGGGGCTGGGCAGAGGAACAGCGTTGGGATTCAGTGTCGGGAGACGCGGGGGCCAAGTGCAGGCCCGCGGGCGCCGTCGGCTGATAAGCAGCCCGCGGTGGGGGGGGGGGGGGTCGGACTCCACAGAACAGAGAGGAAGGAAAGGCAGGGACTGGAAGAAGAGGAGTTGGAGACAGGACCACAGCTCGACCAGACAGAATGTTAAAACGGGACTAAATCAGCAGCAAATGTTCAAGACAAAAAAAATGCAAAGCAAAGGAAAATTCCAGTAAGGGCTGAGAATCTTCCGCACAGCCGAGGCAACAGACGGCGCGGTGCAGATGGGAGGCTGCCCAGAGGGGTGGCTGGGGTGTGCACCCCTGGCCTGCTGAGATCCCCAGTGCACGCAGGTGCTCGCATCCCCAGCCCGAACGGAAGGCGCCCCGGAGGTGGCAGAAGGGTCAGAAGATTCTCAAAACTCAATTCAGGCTACATCTGTTCAGCCTAGAGTGACCCACTCATCCCAGTTTGCCTGCGACATCCCAGGTTTAGTAATTAAAAAAAACCCACGTCCAGCTCATAGCATGGCCTGGCAGGCCAGGGGAAGGTGGGTCGGGGGTGCAGAGCCCTCTACCTTGGCACCTCGCAGGTAGGGTCACCAGATCAGATAGAGGACACCCAGTTCAACAGTCCGGTAAGTGAATGACCGTATTTTAGCAGAAGTATGTCCTGTGCCATATCTGAGATGTAATTATAGTTTAAAAAGATTTCTTGCCCCAGATATGGCACGGGACATACTTACCATAAGAAGTATTTTAAAAGTCATTCACTGTGTATCTGACGTTCAAATTGAACCGAGTGCCCATTGGCTAAGTCTGACAACCCAAATCTCCAGCCTGATAGCCCACCCGGTCTCCAGTGGCTTGAGGTCTTCACTGAGTGTCGCACGGAGCGTCACCAGTCCTGAAGGACCAACTGCACGCCTCGACTTCCATGCGGAGCCACGTTCCCTGCAGCCTCCAGCCATGTCCTCCTCCAGGGCATCTTACCCCAGCCTCCCTGGGGTCCCAGCCTTGCTGCCTCTCTTGCATGTGTCTCCCGTGTGTCTGCCCTCACCCTCTTAGCCTCCGGTTCTTGGGTCCCTGTCTGTCTCCTTCCTCCCCGCTCCTCCACACCGCGGCCTCTTAGATAGCCTATAATACACACCTCATCACAGGCACGCCCCTGCGGCCAAACCACTGATGCCCTCCTCCCCCTCTGGCCCACAAGACAAAGTCCCCACTCCTCGTGGTAACATCAAAGCGCTCCACAATCCAGCCTCAGTCGACCTTCCGCCCATCATCTCTCCCCAAAACCGTACCCCCTACTCTGGCCTCATCCGGGAAACACCCCCTTCCCGCTCGCAGGATGCGCTTTCGCACTTCTGTTCCAAGGGGCCTCGAGTGCTCCTCCCTGCTTTTCCTAGTCATCTGAAGGCTGTTTTCCTTGTAAAGTTAGCCTGAATCTTCCTCTCCCATAAACATGCTGAATCATATCATTTTTCAGGCACTTGGCGAACGTGGCCGTTTTTAACGAGCGTTGCTGTGCGTTCTCAGGACTGCTGCACGTCTTATCTCGAGGTCATTCCCACTCTGTCCTCGGTGGCAGGGACTGTGTGCTCGGGACTGGGCAGAGACCCAGCATACGGTTGGCGTTTGATAAATGTTGGCCAAACGTATGCATATGAATATGATCAGGCAGTTTCCCATGCAATGGAGAAAAAAATATAAGTCCGTTGACCTCCCAGCAAATGCAGAGATAGAGGTATGTTTGCCAAATAAAAAGGCTTTTGAGGAAACGGGGACACAGTCTGGGGAGAAGCTGATGGCAAGCACAGAGACCCTGTCTCCTAACCAGCCAGGCCCCACAAAGACGCGTCGCCCAGCTCTGTAATATCTGGGACAGAGAGGGCAGGTGGCTTAGATGTGGTACCTTTCCATTCTTAAGACAAAAAACTTAATAGTAAACGTGGCAAGTAAATGTTTATGTGCATGCTTCCTGGTTGGTGCTCACTTAATGACTGAAAAGAACAATGACCTTTTTTAAAGTGTGGGCTTCCGGGTTCAAAGAGGACGAGGTTTGAGTCCTGGCTTTGTCATTCATGAGCTGGGTGACCTCGGCCCAGCCCATTTCACTTCTCTGACTCTCCATTTGCTCGGGGTAGTCAGGGCATAACAACACCTCGCCCTCGGGATTGTTCTCCCAGCCAAGTATTAACCAGGCCCGACCCTGCTCAGCCTCCGAGATCAGACGAGATCGGGCGCCCTCGGGATTGTTCTGAGGGTTAAGGGAGAAACAACCTGGAGCAGCGCTGAATTGATAGTCAACAAATAGCAGCGAATCGGTGTCCCACATGAGATCACTTTAGAAGAAACAAATTGGGACCCTCTGCTGCAAGATGCTGGTACTAGTAACTAATATTTATTAACAACATCTGCTCGAACCCAAGTGTTTTACTCCGCCACAAGCAATAGGAACCACAACCATCCTCTCTTGCCGGAGGGCAGAGGTGACTCGGAGTGACCTCAAATGAGTTGCCCAAGGTCACACAACTATAGGGTGGCAGAACCAGGATTTGGTGGCAAGCCGTCTAGGTGCGCCAGCCTGCCATCTGGATAATTCAGAGAGGCATGAGCAAAGCTCTGTGGTTCTCGGAGCCCTGGGTCTCCTTCATGAAGGGGAGGGGCTCAGCGGGAACTTCCCCGGGGGAGGAGCTCCTGCCTCCGGGGTGACAACTGAGCGAAAGGGATTTAAAAATTCGTAGTGAAATAATCCTCCTGTGGGCACCGCAGTTTACTCTAAATGATTCGTCTGAGTTAGGCTAAGCACGAGACACTCTCCTGGGAATGTACAAGGGTAGGAGGTGCCAGGACACAGACCTAATGCTGAATTGGCCCAGTGAGCTTGAAGAGGAGTAACCTTATTTTCCATGGTTGTGGGAGACACCCCCCTCCTGCCCCACATCATACCTACCGGCCATAAACAAGCATTGTAAAGCTCAGGCAGCAACTAGGAGCCATCTGAGGATGATGAAAGGAATCCACCCTTTCAGGATAAAGCTGAAATTAAGCATGAAGGGAACAGCATGAGAGAGCTGGAATCGACCAGGCAAACACCCAACCTTGCACTTGTGGTGAGGAGTCCCAGCAAGGACTCTGCTACTTGCAGCTAAAAGCATCCTGATAATATTCCATATCAAACCACTGGAGAGCCACGGGAACTAGCCACATGAACGTATCAAAAATGTAGAAAGAAAAAGCAAAGTGTTTAAATGATTCTGAGCAGAGCTCCAAACCAGTAACCTTTACTGTCCTTCAGGAGTCCACCCACTCCAATTGTGAAGTCTTCTCTCTCCACACAGTTGCTACGTTATAGCACTCAGGGGTTGTCGTTTCCGTGGCCCCATCACACGGGACATTGTGCATGTGAAAGCATTAAGTAAAAGCTAATTATAAACCCAAGCTAGCTCCCATGTGCCCATGCCTCATCCCCCAAGTAGCCATAGAAACTTGTCTTAGAAACTTTGAACGTCTGCTCCAGCAGCTGCTACGACCCCACAAAACCCTTGGACCACTCGCTATGTGAGGGTGACACCAGGGTGACTACTTGGCACAAAGTGCTGTCAGCTTCTCTTCAGAACAAGGGCGCACACAAGCATGAAGCATTTACTGCTTATACAAATGGCGTGGCATTTTATGACGGGACCTCTGCTGCAGCAATAAGTGTATTATTTCTGTTAAAGGGGGAAGGAATAACTAATATGCATTGCTTTAACATGCTGTATGTTTAAGAAATTATGTAATTTTCAAAATTTTGCCTGAAGTTAGGAATACGTGGCTTTGGAAGTAATTTTTGGTACCCTTTTACATGCGGGAAACATAACCTGTTTTAAA